CGCTTTTTGGCGAAGACCCTACTTCTGAAAACAGCACATGCTCCATCCCACGCAATCTCCAACGCTGTCTGCATACTGCATCTTACTGCGTATCGTCTTATAACCTAAAACGAGCCATCTAGCCTCTATGCTGCATAGGAACCCCCAACACGGACCCCTGCTTTTGAATTGGGAAACCCTGAAGCCCATAAACCGCCAAGTAGAAACTGCCCATCTCACTTTACGCTTTCTTGTCCAATTCACTCTCCAGCTGATTATGCGGTATTACCCCTTAGTTTTTGGAAACCCGAATCCCAAAACCCTTTATCCTCATATCACATAACCCCTATGGCCTCTTTAAGAAAGGCCCTAAGTGCTACTGCTAGGTGTTTGGTTACGAATTGCTGCGAGCTCGAGACTCGCCAAGCATGACCTTCTCCATAGCGGGATCCTGTTCGGGTGACACAAAATTGTAGAGTGAAGGTAGGTATGTTAGGGTGAGGCGTTAAGGGTTTAAGGTAGAAATTTGATATGGTAGCTTCCATGTTCTTACTGTTCTCCAGTCCCTGCTAGCCAGAGGGGAGGAACACCCTAAACCCTATACAGTATGTCCCTATCAACCCCCAATTTCCATGTCATTGTCCGGGTTCTTTTGATTTGCTTCTCTGCTATAGGGACTACACCCATAGGCCTAAACCTTAAAGCCTGTACAACCAGAGATAGCCCCGTACAGTGGTTATACAGCATTGGTGTAGTGCGTATTTATGGTTCAGGATTTAGGGTTAGGGGCGTCATTTCAATAATCTCCCTCCTCCAAATTTACACGAACACGCTCAGAGCTGTCTAAAGAAGCAGTTGGCGGAGGATCACGCTTATAGACCCTATGTGCTCCCATACATGCTTCCTACAGAATCATCATTATGCCCCCTTTGGGGGTTCCAGATTAGTTTGGGAGATGTTTGTTCTGAAGCCTGCGCTGTTAGTAAGGACGCCATCGAAGATACAAAGCTCATCATCGAAGTGGCGGACAAATTGGGTCTGGAGTCAGTTTCTGGATGACTGTCCTCAAATTTGGTTGTAATTCTCTGGGACCCCAAGTCTATACATATAACGTAGCTATGTTGAGCTATTTGGAGCCCTCGCGTTAGGTAATAATTGGCTATAAGTACACTAGGGCATAATTAACTATGAACCTCCAAGTAGTCTGCGAGTACCTGCATATTGGGGTTCTACCGTAGGGTCCCCCAGCACTAGGTGCTGGGACCATAAGAGAGGGGTCAGAGCTTTTAAGTAATCAGCCCATGCAGGAGTAGACCATGTGAGTTATAGTCTACACTCCTTCAAGGGGGTCACATAGGGGGTTATATAGGGGACTACCATAGGGGTTACTAAGGGGTATACTAGGAGTTCAGACTCTGGCTTATTTAGGGTTTTGAGCTAGGGAGGATTGAAAAAGATGTGACTTGCGTTGCGATGAATGCTTAACCAGAGAGGAGCCAGCCCTCACCATGCTTGAGGGTAGATGTTCATGAATGCTTCAGCTGAATGGGTTGTTAACTGTCGATAGATGCTGAATTCAAGCATGAGAGAGTTGATCCTTTGTACATACTTTGGGAGATCGGTGCATGTAGAGGTAGATGTTGGGGCTTTCCTGAGTTGCTGTCAGGGAAGTTAAGTTAATTCACTATGATAATTAAGGAAACCTTTCTATTTATTATATACCCATCTTATGGTAGCCTTTAAGTTCCTTAACAGCAACCCAGTCATTTGGGATTCCTCCGCACCCCTACACCCTTGACCCTAACCGGCCAAGGTTTACTGCACCATCGGATGTCATCCGCATGACTCTTGGCCAATTCCAAGGCATGCCTCGGGTTTAGGGTTTAGGGTGCAGGGTTTAGGGCCCCTAAAGTATGTAGAATTATAGCCTTTTTGGCTGTTTTTAGGTGTTTAGGGCTATTATTTTATGTACTTTTGGGGTTTAGGTACTTGCAACCCCAGTTACCTGCGTTTTCTGGGTTTCGTTTAGGAGGAGTAGTTCCTGATAAGCTGTAGGTATTTTGGGTTGCAGGTGAAGTTTGTTTACCAACACGACACCTGCTCCAAACTGGTCGTATGTGCACGAAGTAGCTTCCAGGACCTAAGCCCTAATACCCTAATACCCCAAACCCTCATGTCCTCAAGTTTTCAACCACAGGACTACCGTGACTTCTCCCCGGAAGCCGAAAAGCAACTCCGCACTGCGCCTTGCCTTGGCCCAGTTTTCTGGGAGGATCTGAAAAAATGAAACCATAAATCCTGAATAAGGATCCCAGCACACTTACCATTGTCCTTTGTGCGACTGTTTTCGTTTGGGCCTTGTAAAGACCACCGTCCTTTAAGACAAGGGCTCTACAGGTTTCGACGTCGATTGTTGAGGAGCATAGGTTCTGAAGCGCGGCATTGTTTGGCATGGACATGAGACATAGCAACATCTTGGGCTTTTCTTAGGAAACCTCTCATTCATGGTTCGTTCGGATTTGAGCATGTCCCTATCTAGGTGCCGTGAATAAAGCTCACAATTCTCATCAACATCACGTCATGTAAGCACTTTTCCTCCCACAACCTCTCTTGTCTGTGTACTTGCGGAGGTTTCCTCGCCTGAACAAGCTATACAGTGCGCTTACCAATTTTCACCTATGATAGTACTTCGCCCGAACCTACCAAGCTTTACCTGTAACCCCCAATTACCTACAGGTTTATGGGTTGTACCTACTACTTAAGGGGTTAGGGGTCAGTCATTATCATTACCATCAAGCTGTAGGTAATTGGGTTACAGGTAGCCGCCGAAGCCAGGAAATTCAGGCCCTCGGGCGGCGAGTGGTTGCAGTTGGAGAGTGCGGCCTGGACTATTGGAAGAACTTCTACGAGTCACTTCGGCTTGAAATTGCTGATTTGCTGATGGGAGCTTTTAGGGGTTGTAAAGTGACTGTTTGATGGAGGATTGAACGGAAGATTAAACTGGAGCATGAACTACGAATGGTTGTATGCTTCAGAGATACACGGGGTTAAGGGTTCAGGGATGGCATAGTGGTTTACTCTATAGAGATTCATTCGTCCACTCCTTACAAACAACCGTAAGTGGAGGTACCACTGGCTGACTCGGTAAGTAGGGGCACACTGGGACTAACTTCAATTACTATTGCATTGATGGCTTCTAGGGGGTCTCAGTATACGTGCTAAGTCCCCGATCCCCGACCTTCCAAGCAATGTGGAGCCCCAAATGTGTGCGTATGGTTTGTGGCTTTGCGTAGAGAAGTCATCAAACCCTAAACCCTAACAGTCAGGGCTTTGGGTCTAGGACTCTGGCCAGGAATGAATTAAGGTCATTTCCGTGCTTTGACTATGGCAGAAATTAAACAAACTATATGGTACCCAAGGGGATCACAAATTTCTTCAAGCCTCTATGGGGTCCGATTGGGGATGGGGGTGTTCGGCCAACATTTGTGGGGACTCCCCAAGCTGAGTAATGGGGCCAAAGCCGTTTGGGGCAAGTTCCTGGACCCTGCACCTACCTCTATTAGGGCCTAAGTACCCGCTATAAGGGGCCATATATATGGGTGGTTGTCAAAATTATGGTCCCTTTTTGGATCCCTAGTAGAATGGCACCTGATATTTAGGGTACCCAAGAAGGGACCACAATTTTTAGAACCACTTGTATATCTACATATGTATATATATATATAAATATAGAGATCCCCAATTAAGGGCGTTACAAAAATCTTGGTTGACAATCAGGGAAAATGCATACGGCTTCTTTCGCAGACTCTGTCTTTCTACTTCTGCGTAGCTCTGCGTATGATGCCCAGAATATTTGTCTGATTGTTAAGCGTCTCGTGTACTACTTTTCCATCCTCATGTTTTGCGGGGGCTCTCAGGGTAGCCAGGAGCAGGTCATGACGTCGTCCCTAAAAGCATGACTCTTGATTGTGGGTGCAGGAGATATCAAAGCAACTTCAAGACCAAGACGGTTGACCTGCCTCGTAGTGCCCTTCCCCTAATATCAACTCCCCCACCACTCTAATGTTGAATATTGGCATTGTGGTATATTATACTAGATATTGGAGGGGCTGGCGGGGCTTGAATATCAGCCTGAAACCCCAGACCCTAAACAGTAAGCCCTATGTGCCCAATCAAGGGTGCAGGGGTTTAATGTTAAGGGAAAGGGAGCACGAGGGGCGTATACCACGTCAAGATGTCATCCTTCTACCCTAGATTTCATCGCAACCGTAAAAGCTACTGCTTTGTAATTTAGGGTTTAGGGCGTAGGGTTTAGCTGCGGCGATACCGTAGCTAGTGACTGAGTAACTCCAGGCCAACACCCTAAGGGTCCAGGTATCCAACATCATATACTTACCCAAAACTTGTACTATAAGTGCTACTACCCAAACCCCAGGTATCGAACTATTTGGTACTTGGACCCTCCGGGACAGGGTTGTAGCAAGCACATCAACAGAGGTCCCAGAACGCTGTCGAACGCCAACAAATGCTGGATGTTTTCGCTCGCCAGATTCGCATGGCTGTAGCCGGGACCTTAGCCCTGAGGGTTGAGTTGAGATCACCAGAACCAATACCAATAGTCGTCCCTATTGGGGTAATGTTAGGAATAATATCGAAACTACTATTTACGGTTTAGGGTTTAGGTAGCATTGCAGGGGTGTTGTGGATCTGGTGAGACGATGTCATTGAAAATCATTGAAGCTAGTGATGATGCAGCAGCGCCGGCGGGGGCAGCGGCGCCTTTGCCTCCACCGTCTCTAGCAGTGGCTGTGGTGTGGCAGTACCAGGAGCTGCAATGCGCGCCGCTATGCCCACAGTTTCACTCCAGTACCCCCTCTGCGAGGGAGGATTTGAGGAAATTCTATTCCTAGAGGGGAACGTACTGGTTTCAAGGGAGAATCCCATGTTGCGTTCTCTCTGAAGGTCGGGGCATGCAGTTCTTAAACCCGAACTCTCAAACTCAAAGTTGCGTTGGCGCCAAGGACCTCAATCTTCCAGTAGTTGTACATGCGCGAGATGCGGACAACGACACCATGCACGTTCTGAGAACCACCTTGCCTCGGGAGCACAAGGTTCCAGCATGTAGGGGCTATGACAGGTATTGATCGATTCAGTGCTGTGAGTTTGGGGTAAGCACTCATTTCTTGCGGGTGTTGCGCAAGGTGTCCTAATATTTGAGGGGCCTCCTTCTGAATTGAACCTCGAAGAGCCGCCGAAAAAAAAATGACAGAACGATCGTTGCAAGGTCTATATCCATGCTTTTCAGGGTGGCACAGACTTTCTCAAGCAGGCACTGGCTAGACGCTGGCTCGTGCTGTTGAAGGCTGTTTTGACTTTCCTTTTCTTCGTACGGGGGTTTGTGTCCATGAATGATTTTCAGAGAGGGCTCATGCAGCCAAATCTTGAACTTATGCCCCTTACTACTGAGCATAATAAGAACACCCTAAACCCTAAACCCCTAAACCCCAGGATATCCGAACTGCATCTTCGGCATCAGCGGCATGGTCTGGTGCAGTGAAGGAACCCAGGCTTTGCAATAGCATAAGAAGTTCTTGAGATTGGTATCCCTGTGAGCTGAGAGTCTTGCAGGGGTTCTATAGGGATACGGGCTTGGGGGACTTTATTTCTCCAGAAATAGCATATGATTTTGTTTTGGGGTTACAGTTTTGGGCAATCGTTGGGGGGGAACTCTGCGCTTTTCGTTACTTCTTGAATATCTTTTGCTATGCCCACTCTTCAGTTGGCTCCTCTTCTCTGCTGTCGCATGTACCCGAACACTTCTGGGTGGCCCTTTGATTTGCCTTTTGAATGGTCAGGGAGTCCAAGGACACCTATGGGGGCTTGTTTTGGAGAGTGGTAAAGGGACCCATGAGAAACACGTAGCCTACGCAGCGCAGCCAAGGTGCAGTGCGAATTGCGCAGAACTGCCCGTTGGACCGCATGGTTCTCGAGACGGATGCTCCCTATTTGGCACCCACTCCTTCAGATCCTCAGCATCTACATACTCTTGGTTAGCTGGGAATCAAGGAATGGAAAAGACAATGGAAACTACTATAGGGTTTAGGGTTTGAGGTGTAGGGTTTAGGAGGAATGGAAAAGAAAAAGTGAACGACTATAATGGGTCTGTATAGGATATAGGGACTACTATAACTTATAAGGATCCACTCCTTGATTCCTAGCTAACCAAAGTTGAGGCCAGGATAGGGCTGGTTTTCCTTCTGCTTTGTTGCACCGGGCTCTACATGTGGTAGTTTCCCTAAATAGGGAACCCCAATTCAGACCCCAATATACTATAATCCTTATTATGGGGACCCCCAAAAAGGTACCCTTAATTTTGGGAAACCCTAATGTACTACGTACGCAAGTAATACACTTTTCTTTTTTGTACTCTGAGGTCTCCTTATTAAAGCTGAACATTACCAAAAAGGGTAGGTACCCTTCTAATTAACGGATTACTGGGGAACCCTATTTAGTGTGTGCGGGCAGTATACCTTGAAGCTCCGAAAGGTCAACCTACGTTGGCCTCCCAAGCAAAGCCTGCTATAGGCGCTTAGAATCCGCTTTTGCTCGTATAGTGTCCTGACTCCCGCCACAGCAGGCTTTTGCAGCAACTAAAGTGAATTCGGCATGTCAATCTTGAACTCAGCACTTGAAAGCCCTAAAAGATCTCACTGTCTCAGCCCTAAAACTCGCAACTTTGAAGCATCAATCAACCCCGAAACCGAGACCTAAACCCTAAACGTTGGGAAGTACCCCGACTCTGTAACAGTTGGATAATATCAACCCTTAATATGACCCCTAATATAGACTCTTACAGGTACCCAACCTAAACCCTGAACTCTGAATAGCAGCTTCAACTTTCTTTTCCATTATCCCCATATGACCCCATGATATACCCTAGAATAGTAGAAGCCTACACCCCAGACCCTATACCCTAAACCCTAAACCTTATAATCTATAATAGTAGAACCCCAAACCCCAAACCCTAGGACATACCAGAGCTTGCTCGCAAAATTGCGGAGATGAAGGGCGAGACAACTGCCAGGGTTTTGAAGACCACCACTGAGGCACTTCCAAAGCTCCTGTTTAGGGTTTACTAAAACTTTACTTGGGCTTTGGGGTTCGGGGCTTAGGGTTTAGGGTTCAGGGTTTAGAGTTCAGGATTCAAGGTTAAGGGCTAGTTTAGGCGCTTTTTAGGGATTGCGGGTTTGGAATTTACCGAGGCTTCAGGGAGGTGCTTGCAAAGCTTCTGTTCCCAAAGACTTTTCTCTGTTCAACCAGTAAAAAGCAACAGGCAGTAAACGTGCAGATCCCGACATCTGATCCCCTGTTACCCTAAGGCTCAAAGGACTCATATTATGAGGCTTTTGGGTCAAAAGACGTGTTCCTGTGTAGGTGTAGGCAGACCCAGTTTTCGACACATAACAACCCATGTGTGCGCTTGACGGCTGGGCCTGAGAAGGATGATAAATTCTTTGCACCCATGATTACCCAAAACATCATAAATATCTCTGCATATCGCAGTCCAGTTTCCATTTTAGTGTCGATTTTCTTGTTCATTTGATTCTCCGTTATTGGCCGTTATATCCCTATTCAGAGGAGTCTTGGATTTCGGTGGTCTGTAGCATTCCAACCTATAATCCCGCGCACAACCCCAATCCGTGCAGGCTTAGCTTTGTTTATATTGAGACTTGGCAGCTTCCAAAACATTATGCGCACTTGAGGTACATGGTAGTTTCCCAACATGAGGGGACCCCAATATAGACCCCAATCTATTATATCCTTGTTATAGGGACCCAAAAAAAAGGTACCACTTTTTTAAGGAAACTCCCATATACCCCGAAGGCCAAGCTTCATACGCTCTTTGCAAGTCGTTTAGGGTTTCCGGGTTTAGGGTTTAGGGTTGCGTTGGGCTGAGTTTTCCTGCCACCAGTCACGGCAAACAGGCTTGGGCACCCCGTGACATGAAAATGCCTAAGCCCTAAACCTTGTATAAAACGGGAAAACTAAACTCTTCATGTTTGAGTTGGCTTTGTCTTGACAGTGGTGTACCAGGTTATGGCGGTCTATAAAACTTCTCAGAAGCTACCCAGAGACTCCTAAACCAAAAAGCCCTAGAAACAGCTTCCAGTTCTGCAGGTTTGCCAGGATTTTTATGGGTTGTCTTCATTTTGGAGCAGCCGAAGATGCGAGGGTGCGTGATCCTCAAGAATCATGGCCGGCATCCTAGTTTGAAGACTCCAGGCATCATGCAAAAGGCCCGCTTGCGGTTGTGGGATGCAAAAGCATTGCCGTTTGCAGCACGCCAAGGCAGTCAACAGGCAACAGCTAGCAAGATCGATTGAGATGAGCCCCGACGGAGCCTGTGTCTTCCAGAGGGCAGTACAACTCTAACCCAAAATGATTCCCAATTTTCATATAATTGTCAATCTTTTCCATTTTATTCTCCACTATTTGGGGTAATGTCACATAGTAATGTCTCTCTATGTTCCCATATGAACCCCATATAATCCACCCACTATATCCCAAGGTTTTTTCAGATGCTTCGGCGGGGCTTTAGGGTTTGCTGGGGGTCAAGCCCACACCCTCTGCAGCAACAGCTTTAATCTTAGTAAGGCTTTCGCAGCTAACCCGCACTCCAAGGCAGCATATGTGGGACTTTCATATCATGGTCATAAGGTTTCTAGCTTCAGTAAACTATGTGGTCTTAATCTTGAGGGGTCGGGCAAGCGAGAAAGCTTCCACATTGAGTCAAGTGGCATTTGCGGGCGTCGAAGGGGGAGGCACTTTCTCTATCTACAGCTTAGTAGGAATTATACCCCTTAAGTAACCCCCAATTTCCTACAGTTTAGTAGTAATTACCCCTTCATTAGTAAGCAGAACCCGTTGTTTTTGTTCTCTAGGTTCTTGCAACGGCCAGAACATCCAAACAAGAACCAGTAACAACATATGATAATCATTTATGTCTTGCTGGCAGAGAAACCTTGTCGCAAGATGCTTATGAGTTAGCAGACGAATATAAACCTTCAGTCATACGGGATGCTGACAGAGCTCTCCTCGGACCTCCCCTAAAGCCCCTGTGACTCAGTTCAAATGAGCTAAGCCTCATCACCGGCCAGCGCCGATCAGGATTCTGACCTTTGAATAGCAGTAGCCGGAGGGCACAAGGCATATTTCCCCTAAACGCTAACCCTAAACTACTAACCTGTGCAGATGTGACATGGCTCTTTCCCCTTTTAGTTTGAGCACCCCCGTGGGGTGTTTCGGGAACTGTTAAAGCGGGAGACATAGCAAGAGGTATCTGCTTGCTGCCGGAAATTGGGGGCTCCCAAATAGTCTTATCCGTACTATAGTATCCTAAACCCTAAACCCTAAACTCCCTCAAAAAGAGAACCCTATCTAATGGAGGCCTCTCCATGTCTTTGTATCCTGAAGGCTCGCGCGGCTTGAAATGTCTTGTTCAAAGTAGTCAACGAGGTGACAGAGCTCTCTTACATGAAGCTAAACGTTAGGGTTTAGGGTTTAGGGTCGCCTACAAAAGCATATGCTCCAAAATGCTGGTACACTACGAGGCACTGGCCGCCATTGGTGTTGTATTACTTGAGACAAACCCTAGGGGCCAAAGTACCCAAATCCCGAGTATGTCATTGTTGCGTACTTGGACCCGAAAGGATAAGGCATTGAATACTCAAACTTGACCGCCTGGGCTCAAAACAATGCATCAATCCCTGTCTAACTATTGTTGTGGAATCCAAGTTTATTTTAAGATCTGAGAATTCTACAGATACGTATTCTTATATATTTATCTGTAAATTTGTAAATGTGTGTTCCTACTGGATTTCCCACAGGTACTGGTCTTTCCTTCGAATTCCTAGTAGAGTACTGGTCGCTATGTCCTTTTCAACCCCCTTGCAAGCATTGATTCTGGCAAACTTTTAGCTACAATCCCACAAAATCCATAATTACCCATCTCCTATAGTTTTTTAAGCTTGCGCGTAGGCGTTCTTGCCCTTGTATTCATGCGCGTAGCCGTTCTTGCCCTTGTATTCATCCCTCAAAATATGTTAAGGCTGTGTCTGAATAAGCACTGTCACCTCGATTTCGCTACCTCGGACAAAGTTGCCGTGAAAGGTGGCTTCGAACTCCTGATTATTCACAGGTTCAGAGGGGGTTTCCGTTAGACCTTCCGCAACACCTTGGAAGGTGAAAGATTTCCGCACGCAGAAGGGCCCTCAAGATTTTTGAGCTCCTGGCCTGCCGGGACCCCCCAAGATCCTATGACGTATGCGAGAATCTCGTTTTCCAGGCTTTTCGACGTGGGAGTGTCTCAACATGATGGGCCATGTTTTTTGGCAAGGCTTTAGGAGGAATATGTAAGCTGTGTATACCCAAACACTAAACTATTCATGGGCGCATTCGCATTCTTGTAAGAGGACATACAACTGTTTCAGTTCAGCTCACGAGTTTTGACGGTTTTGTAGAAATCGAACACTAAACCACAAACCCTGAACCCTAAATGAAAGTTCTTGGGAACTTACTCTAGCGTTGTTTGTAAGTCATGGAGGTTGCAACCTTGGAATAGACTACTAGTGGTTTAGGGTTTAGGGCTTTAGGCCCATCAGCAGGTGCTCATGAAGCATTTTTCTGAGGAAACTTCAGCTATCATGTCTTCCTTCTCTCGTCTTTCGAGACACAGCCAGCTGCGAGAGGATGTTTTCTAGGCCGATGCGCCAATTGCTTATGCCTCGTGCGGGCCGCATATACCAACAACATCGCCAGTGCTGACAAAACGAGCGCGCTGCCGTGGTGACAGCGCATTGGCATGAGGATGTATTACAACACCCCCCACATGAAGGAATTTGGTACGGTCAGGGCCAGAATTCATGAAAATGTTTCCCCCGCAAAACGGTAAGAAAGAACATATATGTTGAGCCTTGCGTGAAGCTGATTACAGCCCTCTGGGCCCACTTTGTTTGGTGGGGGGGGGGGGGAGCGGGCGTGAAACGGCAGTAAAACGACACCCCAAAGGTGACCCTATAGACTGGTATTGGCGCGCAAACTAGCATGCAAGCACAACAAGGGCCATATGAATACCTCTGTCTATGTGAAATGGGGCCATATGAGGCGCCATCTAAGTTTGGGGGATGTAATCCTTACATACCCTTATACTTATATCATCCTACTAGTCCCTTACGAGAATTTATGCCAAAACATTGTTTCATAGATGTAGGAACGGTAGACCCCCAAACCCTATACCCCAATCCAAACCTTTGTTCCCATGAATCCCAAATGATGCCTAGATATCCATAGATACTCACAGTTCTGCTTGGTGCGCTGAGGCGCTTGAGACATCTTCCCGGGACGGTAGCTACACAGGCTGACTGGAAGTTGATGTGAGTTGCATAGGCAAAAGGTTCAGGGTTCAAGGGAGACTTTCGGCTAGAATGATGAGGAATTGTGAGTTCGATCTACCCAAGGAACAGGTGAAAGTGGACATGCAGTGTTCCTTGTACCAAGTCACTATAGTCTCAAATATACTTCCCATGACAGGCCGTCTGCTTTGTGATTGAATAGGTCCTTTGGGGAACTATGTTGGCTTTCTGTAGGTCTATAGGGGTCAAATGTCCGGCAAGGTGTTTTGCATAGTGACCGTTTTGGGAAAAGAAATCTAATCAGATATCGTTTGTTGCCGCTCGGGGTACAATTAGCGTGCATTTTGCACATCCCGTGATACGCAAGGGCGAGAGGGCCTTCTAATTTACTGTGAACCCAAATCGGTTGGGCTATGCAAGGGTATGTAGGATCTGTAAAAGGGGTTTAGGGGCTACATGAGCTTGTTTTTTCAGGGATGATGTTCCGAAAACGGCAGTGCCCCAAATAGATTGTGTGCGCAGCAGCCATTCATGGCTACAGGAAGCCTACTGCTAGTAACATAACCCAAAGGGTCCATGTACCCAATAATTAGGTCTCTTTTAAAGGGGGATATATAGGGGTATATAGGGTTTAGGGTTTAGGGTTAAGGGTCCAAGTAACCAATAATTAGGTACTTGGGTTTTTTGGGTAATAGTAATTATAGTACAGGTTTTGGGTAAGTATATGATTATTCAGTACTTGGACCCTTAGGGTAAGGTATATTGTGGCATGCAAAAGGAGTCATGGACGGAACGCTTTGTCGCAAGCCAGGGTCCATCCTCAATCCAAGCTGCAGAATGGCAGCTACCTTTTTTGCGGTCCCTATAGTAAGGATGATGGTATATTGGGGTCTATATTGCGGGGTGCTTACGGTGCTTACTGTTAAGGGCTTATGAGTTAGTGGCAATATCAGGGTTTAGGGTTTAAGGGTGTTATGGGGTTTCCCAAATTAGGGGTACGAGAATTTTGAACATGTGTAGCAGTCACCTCGGCTTCAAATACCCTGCCCTCACGTAGTGGCTGGAGTATTTCTAGCTAGGATCTTGATGAGAGCTGTCGGCAGAAGTCATGCCCATTTGGCTTTTTCTCCATGCCCTTTACGACCACTTGAACATGGCACATCGCCTAAACCTTGGGTACTGTCCCCGCCAGGAACAGTGTATATTAGGGGTCCTATTAAGGGTTATATACAACCATATTTTAACTATTATCCAACTGTTACTGAGGGCATGGCAGTACCCAATCTAAACCCTGAAGCCTAAACCCTAAACCCTATTCCCTAAACCCTAAACCCTAGCGCCTAAACCCTAAACCCTATTCCCTAAGCCCTAAACCCTAAAGCCTAAACCCTAAACCCTAAACCCTAAAGCCTAAAGCCTAGTAGAGGTTGCTGAACTGAGGGATGCTTCAGATTCAGGATTTGTTCGTACGGTACCCCTTATACCCCTAAGGGTCCAAGTACCTAGTAATCATATGAGCTATAGTCGAAACTTCTTAAAGGGGGTTATAGAGGGGATTATATAGGGGACCACTATAAGGGATAGTAAGGGGGATACTAGGAGTTTAGACTACAGCTCATATGGAGTCAACTACATAGGGTTTCGGGTTCAGGGTTTTATATGCTCCAGGTTCCAGCCATGCTAACATGTGGATGTCACTATGCGTCGTTGTTGAGTGCCTGCCTTGCACTGCCTTTGTGTACCTGGGCCTCCTAGCCTTAAATTGGCCTTAAATCGAGGTATATGGTCCCACATACTAGGCGTTTAGGGTACATGGAGGGTAGAGAGGGT